TGGCGGGGCAGACACAGCGGGGCGTGGCCGCAGAAAACGGCCTTCGAGGGCGTCGCGACTCTGTCCGGGCCCTCGGCTCCAGGCCTGCAGAGGGACTCCCGACACCTGTTCTGCCTTCCCCTCCCTTCCAAAGAGCCCAGCACCAGGTGGCTGCTGAGAACTTGGACCTCAGGTCTCCAGCCCCGAGCGCCAGCCCACAGAGAGCGCTCAGCCCCAGCCCCGTCCCCAGCAGACCCGAAGGGGCGCTCACCTCGTAGATGTTGAACTGGCTCTGCCCACGCGCCAGCTCGCGGTAGCTGGTGGTGAACTCCCCGATGAAGTCGTGGCTGAAAGAGAGGGAAGCGGTGGCTGCGGTGGGAAGCCTGGGTTCACACCCTCCCTCCACCCCAGGTCGGCTGGGCCTCACTCCGGGGGGCCAGGGCCCTCTCATAGGGACTGAGCAGGGGCCCACTTCCACCTGCACGCCTGTTTGAATAAAAGGTATTTATTTGGGGGATGACGGTGGGAAATTTGAAATACTGGGTGGCCTTCAAGAATTATCGTTCAGCACCTCGGCGGTGGCAACGGCGTTGATAGCTATGTGGGGAAATAACCTTATTTCTCAGACATTCCATTACCAATGACATATTTAAGGGTAAAAATGCTACAGTGTCATTCCCTTTAAGCTACTGGAGCAGAACACAGATTAAAACAAATACGGTGATATGTAACTATCGCAAAATTTAAGCAATAGGCTTGAAAGTGTTTGTGAAACTCTTCTCTCTACTCTTCTGTGTAGTTGACATGATTTGCAATAACATTCTTTAAGCCTTTTTCTTCTTTTGGAGATGGGGGTCTTGCTATTTTACCCAGGCTGGGCCTGAGTGACCCTCCTGCCTCAGTCTCCTGGTAGCCAGGACTACAGGGATCCACTATTGTCCTCACTGGGCTGGGGATTGAACCCAGGGCCTCCAACATGCTAGGTAAGTGCTGTACCACTAGCTACATCCTAACAGATCTGATAACATATTTATTTATTTATTTATGGTACCGGGGATCGAACTCGGGACCTTGGGCTTGCGAGGCAGGTGCCAGAACCACTGAGCTAAATCCCCAGCCCTCTATAACACTTTTTAAATAGACCAGCAGAGCTGTGCCAAGCCAGACGGAGCCTGTCATGCCTGCCGGCCATACTCAGCTCCAGCCACTGTCCTGCCACAGCTGGAAGTGGTCACTGCACAATGACGCCCAGGAGGCATCCCCAGGCCTTTGGCAACTTGATAGAAGGACAAGCGGCACCTGCTGCTGTCCCCGGCCGCCATGGGAGAGACAGTCAGGGAAAGGAGAAGCAGGAGCAACGTCAGGGTAGAATGGGGTGATTCGCGGTGGGCACTAGAGCTAATTTGTCTGGCTGTGATGTGGTTACAGAGGTGAGGACAGGTGTGCTGATGAAATCCCAGAGTTCAGGAGGCTGAGGCTACATAATGAGTTCAAGACCGGCCTGGACCACATGGCAAGAGCCTGTCTCAAAAAAAACAAAACAAGCAAATGATAAAAAATAAAAATAACTGGCGAGGAGAGGAGAGAGAAAGCTGACAGAGATAAGATGGGTGCCAGAGTTCCTTACAGGGAAGGCACGAGCCTAACTCAGAGCTACGCTTGAGTAGCGTCCATTCTACAACACACAAGGGCAGGACCCACAGGTCACCCCTTGGCAGAGCCCAGCAGGCGGGACAGAAAGTCAGACAGCAGGTTTGGACTCGGCTCTGAGTCCTGCTCTTGTCCTGTGTCCCCAGCACACTTGCCCCTCGGGGCATTGGCACCCCAGAGACTGGCTGCCCTGCAATGTCCAGCCAGGGCCTCCTGCCGCTTACCTGCCGTCTCGGTCCCAGTCATACACCTCCACCTTGATGGTCCTGAAAGACAAACAGCCCTTGGTGGGATGGGCCTGAGCCGCAGGGCACAGCCTGGGCACGGGACCCAGCGTGTGGCCCGGACCAGAGCGGTGCAAGCTCAGGCCTGGGGTGGGCAGGGATGGGGCAGTGGCCCCAACAAACCTCAGGGACAGAGGCAGCTGCCCGGCCACATCCAGGCTTCCTGGAATGGCAAGGGTGTGAGAGAAAAACAGGCCCAGGCCTCAGTTTCCCTCACTTCCGCCCGGCCACCCCTGTGGGAAGCATCTTCCAGGGCCAGGGTCTTGGGGAAGGGGAAAAGCACCCCAGGCCGGGCTCAGGTCCCAGGTCTGGGGGTGAGGACACTGCCCAACTGGGGACGGCCTGCTGCCTGCCCAGCCTCCATGTCCCCATGGCTGGCTCCTGAGAGAGGGTGTAATTATCTTCACATTTTAGCCTGGCTGCTTTAATTAGTTTGTTTTGACTCCTATATGCATGGGCTGGGCTCAGAGAGCCCGGTTTATTTTTAGCCGTGTTTCCATGGAAACAAGCTAGCAGACCAGAGGCAGGCGGAGAGGTGGAGGGCTGCTGGTTAACCCTTGGTGCCCACTGTTCTGTGCTCAGGTGCCAGGCTCAGGGGGCTGCCAGGGAGCCCGGCAGGGTCTGGGCAGGAGGGAGGGGCCCAGGGAGCAGAGGCTCCAGGCTTTAGCCCCAGACCAGGGTTACCAGGCGGTGCCTCCCCACAGCACAGCCCCCCTCCCCAGGCTCTGGAAATCGCTTAGGGGTTCTGTGGCCCCAGTAGGAGGCGCTGTGTCTCTGCAGATGCAGCTCCTTAGGACTGGGGTGCGGGCGTGGGGCACAAAGCATTGGGGTGGAGGGAGGGGAGCCCCAAGGTTGTGCAGACTGGGATTCTGCCAGCCAGAGCTTACGTAAATGGGCGGACGTAGACGCTCCCTGCTTAAAGGAATCCTTTCATACTTGCAAGAAACAGCAACGAAAATGTCCCTTCCAGGTGAGTTATTTAGGAGAGGAAAAAAATAAACAAGTCCCTGAAGGTGGTCTGGGCCTGGACAGAGTGAGGAAGACGCTGGAGCCGCAGCTGTGCGAGCTGGAGATGTCCCTCAACTCCCCGAGCCACAAAACCTTTTGTTTTTTCTCCCTAGTGCTGGGTACCAAACCCAGGACCTTCACACTGAGCTACAACTCCAGCCATTTTTCAGTTCTGAAAACCAGGCACAGGTCTTAAAGGAGTCTCTGGTGACCGGCTGTGCATGTCCCGGGGGAAGGGCACTTCCAGGAGGAGAGACCAAGCCCCGAGGCCCGGAGTGTGACCAGGGCCAGAGAAAGCCCTACCTCCCTCCCAGCCTACACTCCGGCCGCTGCCCCAAGGCTGGGCCTCTGACCTGTGTGTGCCTCCCAGGTGGCCCCAGACCCTGGGGTCTCCAGCAAGGGGTGCACTAATCCTGCCAGCCCGGCAGGTAACGAGACGGTGCCAGGGCATGCTCAGGGGCTACAGGAGGCCCCAGGAGAGGTGACGGCTCTGGAACCTCAGGCAGAGGGCCTGATTTCACTGGTCCAGATGGGATGGAGGTTCAGGCCCCAAGAGGTTCCATGTGCAGACACAGCACCGCTTTCCACAGCTGCTTGTGCTCTGGATTCCCCTGGAGAGCTCAGAAATACAGAGGCCGAGGCCGGTGTTTCACCCCAGAGATTCAGAATTGACTGGTCCGGTGATGACTGTTAAAAGCTCCCCTGGACCCTGGGAGGCTGAGGCAGGAAGATCCCAAGTTGGAGCCCAGTTTGGGCAAGTTGGCGATGTGAATCTGGGCTGAAGTGGAGACCCAGGACAAGGGTGCTAAGTTTCTTACACAACAGCCCGTGTTCCAGGGCCCCCAGAGGCTGTAACTGTGGCCTTGGGAGGAGGCTGGGAAGGAGCCAGAAAGCGCTATTTACAGATATGTCACAGCCCCTGGTGCCTCTGCTCAGCTCCCACCCCCTCGGCACAGGCCCGCTGTGACCCAGGGACAGCACCCAGGAGAAACGGCTGTTGCCTCTGCTGACACAAAACCGACACCACATGCGGCCTCACAAGGCCTGCGGGGCCAGTGAGATGGGTGGGGAGAGTGGGGGAGCCGGCACTGGCTTGACCCACACACAGACTCAGTTTACCCATCTGCACCCAGTGCCGTGGGTCGCTACAGCAGCCGCACGGTCAGCACATGCATGGCACACTCCGCCCCCAGCCCAGCACACACTCAGGCTCCAGTCTCCACACGGTTCCCGGTCACTACGAAGCCGTCGCCCTGTTCGGCGCTGTCCTCAGGGGCTGGGCTGCTGCGGCTCCTCAGACTGCTGTCCGGGCTGCAGTGTGAGGAGCAGAGGCCCAACCCCGAGAACGCGGCTCAAGGGGAACAGATCCTGAGCCACAGAATGTTCCAGAGAGGAGGACAGACTGGGGAGGTGATTTCGGTCCCCCCCGCGCTCCACCCACTGGAAGGCTGGACTTGGAGCCTGGCTCTGGCCTGGTGTGGCTTGGAGTCGCGACAGGAGGGGCCCCACTCAGGGTCCGCCCCCAGGTGACTTCTGCCAGCTCCGTGACCTCTGGTCCTCCTGTTCCCTGTCTAGAAAACGGGCACGACACGAGCAGCCCCCAGCTCCCGAGGTTACCCTCACAGTCCGGAAGGCCCGGAAGCCAGGGCCGGCGTCCAGAGACCCAGGACTGTCAGGAACCCAACTGCTTTGCACCCGTACTTGCCCTCCCAGCAGTGCCCTGGCCCTGGCCTCCCTGGCCCTGGCCTCCCGGGCCTCACTCACATAACAGCGAGACCGTGTCCTCCCTCCCCATTTGTGGTCTGTGGGTGCGGCGGCCTCTCTGTCCTCTCCTATCTCTGGACCATTTCTCCTCCTCTTTCTCCTTCGATTCTGGGGGCTGACTCCAGGGCCTTTGCACCAAACGACATCCCTGGCTTCTTTATTCTTTGACATAGGGTCTTGCTATGCTGCGAAGCTGCCCAGGCTGGGCTCAAACTTTCGATCCTCCTGCAAGCCGGGGGCTGATGATGTGGATCGAACTCGGTTCCATTCCCTGGCTGCTGTCCACAACACAGCTCATCTGGGAAGGAGGGTATAGTGGCCTCGTGGTCCTGCACCTTCGGGGGCCTGGCACGCAGCACCTCCTGAGTGGACCTGGATTAACACCAGAGGCCAGATGGCTGTGGCTGAGCCAGAGAGGCAGGGCTGGGCTCAGGCCAGGAGGAGGAGGTAGGGGCTGCCTGGGCTCCTCCAGTACCTGCTACTGGACGCTCACTTCCTACAGGGCCCCGGGAGCCTCTCCCCCAGGACACAGCTCTTTTCCAGCCTCCCTGAGCCTCCTGCTCTCCCCTCACCCTGTGCAAAAACCCTAGGACCATGTGGGTGTGGGTGGTGCACTCTGTAATCCCAGCACATGGGAGGCTGAGGCAGGAGGATTGCTGCACATTCCAGTCTGAGTTACACAGCAAGTTTGGGACAGCCTGGACTGAACAGTGAGACCCTGTCTCAGAAAACAAAAATTTGAGGACCCAGCCAGAGGTTTGTGCATTTGTGGCACCTTTTTTTTTCACCTTTTGGTGGCACTGGGTATCGAACCCAGGACCTTTGCACTGAGCTCCATCCCAGCCCTTTTTTATGTTTTATTTTGAAACAGTCTGGCTAATCACCAAGTTGCCCCAGCTGGGCTTGAACTTGCAGTCCTCCTGCACAGCCTCTCAGGGTGCTGGGATTATAGGTGGCAGGCACCACCACGTGTACCGGAGTACCTGTGGCCCCAGTCTCACTTTGCATGGTTATTTAGCCATTTCAAATACACATGTGCATTCCCTGCTCCCTGGAGGAGACGGAAACACAGCCGCTTGCCCTTGGATGCCACGCGGCTAGGGCACACTGCTGGGCTCACAGAAGGTGCACAGTGACTCCCTGGAGAACAGACTGCGGCCCCTCCCTCAGCGGAGCACAGAAAAGGGGCCACCCGTGTGAGACGCCCAGCCTCAGGGAGACGGGGCTTGGGTACCGTCCCCTCCACTGTACCCAGTGGCCGTGGTGACCAGGGTCCCGGCGCCTCTCCGAGAGTGGACAGGGAAGACCCAGCTTCCAAGGCTGCCGAGGGCCCGGCCAGCTGGCTCACCTGACCGCCGCCCCCAGG